TTCTTAAGAACAGGAAAAATATTATTCTTATCAAACCTAAAAAGATCTTTTTAGCAAAACATTATTCTCTCCTTTAAAGATTTAAAAACCTTCATTTTATTTTCACCAAGATTAATTTCAACAAAAGGAGCTTTTCTTTGTTTAGATTATTTGCATTGCTTAGCCACCTTTTCCGCAAACTCCTTTTCCTCTCTTTTTAAAATTGCTTTGTATTCCTTGAGACTTATCTCAGGTTCCAAAACAATTTACCTTTTCCCTTAACATCTTTTGATTCGATGTTAACATAGTTTGAAAAATGTGTTTTGGGCAGGACAGTTGGATTTAGGTTTTCCAATAGGTTTTAAAACATGAGGTTTGGAAACCTTTGATTTTGAAATAGGATATTATGAAAAAGGATTTTGATTGTGGTTTCGGAATAGAAGAAGAATTTGTATTTTGAACTGAAGATCTTTCTGGATTAACAGAATTTTGATTGGAATTCTTGTTTTTCCAAAAACGCTTTATTTCTTGTAAGTTTTTCCTATATCTTGCATTCATCTGCCTTTTCTTAGCAACAATTTCTTCAGCAGACAAATGAACAGTAGACCTAGGTTTCTATTTTCGAATTGGCTTATAGGTCTGTTCAGAAGACGTTTCACTTGGGACATTTTTAGTGCCACTCAGACCAGCTTTATCGTAACAAGGGTTAACACAATTCAATGGTTCTGCAACATATCTCACTTTCGTTTTCCATGAGGTCATTTCGGAAAGACATTTGGTTTCATCTGCATTATGAATAGGACCTGACCAAAAGAATTCGTCGCACCCTTCTCCATTATCATTATCTACTATGGACGTTAGTTCTAAAGTGTCATTTTTGTTCAGTTCGGTTTTTACGAAAACTTGATTCGGAACAGTTTTTACATTCGGAAAAAGTGTGGATTTTGCTTTTAAAACTTCTGAACCTTTATTTTCAACAACACGAATATATTCAATTGAATTTTCAGAAATAAACTTTTTCTTTGGTTCAGCCTCATTTTGTACAAACGCTGAACAATCTATTTCATCCTCTACAGAAATTTTACTCATGTCGCTTTCATCAAATTCAGAAACGTTTTCAGTATCAAAAGTATTTTTTGAACTTAATTTGATGCACAACGAGTAAATTTTTTGCATAGTATTAGATTTAATTTGTTCTTTATCTTTATCATCCAACATTTGTCTTAACATATTCTTATGTTCTTTGGACTGAATCTATGCTTCTATTTTGTCAAGCCCAACTTTGTACGAATCGGAAACATCATCAGACGAAATAATAGATTCACACTTATAGCATTCTGCATCTATTTCGTCCTCTTTAAATTCAAGAAAGGGTAAAATCATTTTGTGTATATTTTTACCTATTTCACAATCAAGATGCAGTTGAGTAATATTGAAATATAAACGATTCACAATTAAACAGAAAATATTCCTTTGTTTTAAAAGTGCTAAATTTTCTCTCTTAAGATAAATGACATCATCCTTTGACCAATTAAGCTCTAATTCCAACTTCTCTATCCACATCCTTCTCTCTTCACTTTTATTTGTTACCCTGCTGATTTGATCACTAAGGTTAGAATTACTTAGACGTGTTCTCTTTAAACTATCGCTAAAATTTGAGAATGTGTAATTTAAATAATCTAATTCAGATTCGTAACGTGTAATAGGAATATTAAGAGATTGGAGTATAAACTGTAACTTATTGATGACCTTCTCGCATTCTTTCACCTGTTCAGAAACAAGCTTCGCAGCAAAGCAATTTTCAGAGGCTTGGCCGCCATCAGTCGCATAGCTCCTCTGATTCGAAATTTATTTCTAAAGCATTAGACATCTACCTTCGTACTCCTGCACTTCAAACTTTGCAACAAGACACCCACCGTGTGCGGGTTTCCGAACCTCCTCATCTTCTGAATCAGTGGACCATACTTCAACACGTCCATCTTCGTCACTACCATCCTGCACAATCAAAGCAGGCTTCACGTTTGCAGCACTTTTTTTCATAAGCTCCTCTATATTTTGAAGATAGTAAGCTTCGTCCTTCTCTATTTCCTTCTTTTCACTCATCCTTCTCAACATACACTCTTTGGCAAAATGATTCTTGCCATGGAAGTAGTTGCAGTCATAGCCTGAATCCCTTAACAGCTTCTCTTCTTCCTTTTGAGAGTTCTTGAAGCTCTCCTCTCTTGACTTTTCCGCACTGAAATTTCCCTGCCTGTTCTTATTCTTGAATCGACCAAAATTCTTTTTGATGAACATTTTAGGATTTGATACCATCAGAGCATATTCCTCTTTGGTAATTTCACTGTTTGAAAATTCGGATTCGGAATCTTCTTCAGCTACCTTTTTTCCTTTTGCAACCAAGGCCAAAGATTCCATGCTAGAGACAAGATTTACATCCTTCGTCACTTCATCTTCGTGGGATCTTAGGATTCCCACAAGATTTGTCATAGAGTAGCTCCTGAACTGTTTATAAGCTTTCACTGTAGACACAACCGCTTTCCATTCAGACCTTAACCCATTCATGAACGTAACTTTTTGCTCTATCTTTTCACGCATGAGATTGTGTTTAAGCAACCTACTTAATAGATGATTAAACTGATTGAATTTCTGATACAGTTTTTCATCAGGCTTTTGAACGAAAGTTTCAAATTCAGAAAGAAGCAACGTTTGCATGGAGTGTTCCAAATCTGCATCACTTGAATAAAGCTCTTTTAACTTGTCCCATATTTCCTTCGTCGTCTCACATGCACTCACCACACGAAAGGTGTCCGGAGGAAGAGCAAACCATATTATTCTCATCGCCTTGATGTTACTCAACATCTTATCTTTTTCATCTTGAGGAATATCTTTATTTTCAACAAGAATTGTGTTGTAGTCGCCGTGAGTCTTGACAACCTTCCTGGTAGCCATGTGAGCGAATGTCTGTTGTGTCATGGCTTCCCATATTACGGTGCCATGTTCTTCAAGGACGATAACATAGTCTTCAAAGTGCAGGGCCCAGACTTCATAATCCTGTGGGAAGAGGATTAGGATCCTAGTAGTTGATATGATGCTACTAGAGAGATTGAAAGAGAGAGTATGGGGATCTTCGTGATTCATCTTCTCAAGAGTTCACATAAGCGAATATAGAATCAGATGTGTAATAACGTGAATCGAGATCGAGGGAAAAACAAGAGATCTAGATCCGGAGCTTGCAACTGATTGATGCAGTTGAGACACCAACAACATATCCAAGAGACACGATAAACCCTAGTTTAAAATCTCGACAGAAGATTAGTGTATAAGTTACACAATCTCCTGCCCTGATACCAATTGTTGAAACAATAAATACTTTGATCGATAGATTCTATAAACGATGTGAACAAAATAACACGAAAAATGAAGATCAAATTATGCCGAATGCTTAGATTAATAGCTTTAGAAGAGTTCAACGTGAACTTTTCTGTAAAAGCTAAGTAAGGCAAAATACAATCAATAACCCTAGAACGATACATGCATGCACATTAAATAGTCTAACCCTAGATAAACACAAATACAGATGGACAGACCCAACCCGTTATAAATGAGACTATATACGTACAAAAAATTTGGCATAACACATTAGGTAGCCCAACACAAGTATGTTTTGATCTTTTATTAGGGGTATGTTTTATGAAACTAGTTGTTTTTTTGTTGAATTTATTAATTGTTTTAGTGAAAATATTAATTGTTTTTGGTGAAATTAGTAATTTTCTTATGAGAAATCAGTTCTTGAGTTGTTATTATATTGATTACTTGTTTAAATATTGACATGTTAGGGTAAAATTGAGTTCTTTAAGAGACCAAGCTCCAATGAATCAAGTGTTGAAGGATCGTCCAAAAGACAATGCTCCAATTCTAATAAATCATTCCCTTTGGTTTCTAATGCTCCATATCCACAAAGACCACAATCACAAAGTCTACAACCTACAACTACTTCAATTAGAAGTATTGATTTGAAGTTGAAATTTTTAAACGGTTGTGAGTATGCAAATTATAGAATTCGGGGACCGATTTAGTGAAATAACCACCAATTACTAGAATACATGGGGGCTTTGATTCTTTGTGATTCATTTGCTAAATTTGACAAAACAAAATTGTTGAAGTTGAGTGAGTTGTACAAGAATGATTTTAATGATTCCGAGAGGATATAACTTGATGATGAACTTGAGATATATTATCACTCTTTACATAAAGATGGCTGGTTCACTAGAATACATGAGGGCTTTGAGTCCTCGTGATTCATTTCCGAGCTTTCTCATTTGATGGTGGAAACATGAAAACATCTTTCTTATCCTATGATTTATAGGTTGTTAAAGTAGGTTTGGTTTTACCTATTGTGATCGCAACAATGAAAAAATGTTTTTTCATGATGAAACTTTTGAATACAGACTTGCGTAGCAAAATGAGTTATGACTTTTTGAACGATGTCTTGATTTGTAAATGAGTTATGACTTTTTGAACGATGTCTTGATTTGTAATGTTAAAAAGAAGCTCTTATAAATGTTAAGATCGAAGATGTAATGAATCGTTTTCAAAAAATATTTACATGTAGATGTGAAATTTAAAAATTTTATGTTCGACAACTACTAGTTTGTTATTTTTAATGCACTCGTACTTTTTTTTTTGTAATACTGTTGCTGTAAATTCCTACGTCCGTCCCTGTCATGTGGAGTTGTTGCCCCTTAGGAAGGTGATACTCTTGGTCATTGCTTTAAGAATAACTTTGTTGTAATTATTGGTGTCGACAAACCTGTTGTCTAAATTTTTTGAGGATATCACCCTTGGTCTACATACTTTAATTGTTGGTAAGATTGAAGCTGTCTACAATCTTCATAGCCATTAATAGATGCAACAACTCCTCCTAGTTTATTAAAGCCCAAAATGCCATGATTACAATCTTCGTAGCCATTAATAGATGCAACAACTCCTGTCCTGTCTAGTTTATTAAAGCCCAAAATGCCATGGTTGGAGATCCGGAGGAACAGAAAATATTGTCTAGATCATTAAGCCTTATCTGGATGTATGGTTTGCGGTTTTATTATTTTTTTCCTTTTTCTTTTTATACATTTTCCAACTTGTTTTTATTTTTTAATAAAATTTCTATTGCCGTTAGAAAAACCAAAGTGATAATTATACCGTTGATCTGAACCATGACTCTTCCGCCGGTGTTGGTCATTGAACCAACCTACCAACCCCTTGAACTATGACAATTTTAATGGCATTTTAGTGAATACGAAGCCGGAGATGAGACATTTTATAAATGCATCACAGTTTGAAAATCTTAAAGCACATGGGAATAATTAATAAAGGTTGGCAACGCACGTGCTACTTCTGTTATACTCATTTTGCAACTACGCAATTCACCATTATTAAATAAATCATCAGTTATGTAAGGAGAGAGAGGTCGACTAAGATCTTAAGTTTTATATATTACTAAGAAGTGCATGCAAGCTGGCAATTCATTATTTTAATTAGACTAAACATCGATTTGGTAAGGAGAGAGTTGACTAAGACCTTAAGTTTTATATATTCTCATGCAACAGTAGACGCAATATCTTCTCAAACACATCTACTTTTATTCTTTGAAAGTTTTACTCTTGTTTCCTATTTTTGATCGATCATTAAAAAGATGCCGATTCTAAAAGGGTTTGAACACCTTAGAATGCAACTAGATGCTATAAAAAAAGCAACTAACGAATTTGCAAAAGATAATCACATTGGCGGAGGAGGATTTGGACCGGTGTTCAAGGGAGAACTCATTTCGGAGGAGACGACAAAGACAGTGGCTGTAAAATGTTTAAATCGCAAGTTTGGCCAAGGAGATCCTGAGTTTTTGAAGGAGATCATTATGCTTTCAGCTTATAAGCATGAAAATATTATCTCCCTCTTAGGCTACTGTGAAGAGAAAGAAGAGAAGATCCTAGTCTACGAATATGCATCTAAGAAAAGTCTCGACAAACATCTTGCTAGCCAGGAGTTAACGTGGGTCAAACGCCTTAAAATATGCATCGGGGCAGCTCGTGGAGTGGCATATATTCATAATCCTGCTGGGGGCCATCAAAGACTACTGCATCGCGATATTAAGAGTTCCAATATTTTAATAGATGAAAATTGGAATGCCAAGATTGCAGATTTTGGTTTAGCCAAAATTGCTCCAGCCAACCAGCAAAACTCATTTATTATCACCAATAATAATAATGTTGTAGGGACTGTAGGGTATACTGATCCTCAATATATGGAGAGGGGAATACTAACAAAGGAATCCGACATTTACTCGTTTGGTGTTGTTTTGTTTGAGGTTTTGTGCGGGAGGGTGTGTATTATTAACATTAACGATACATCTACTCCATTTTTGACTCATATAGTAAGATATCATCATAGACGAAAGAAGCTAAATGAACTTGTTTGTCGTAACATAAAGAATGAAATACATCCCAGTTCTTACAAGATCTTTTCAGAAATTGCCTATCAATGTTTGCACGGAGAGTACGATTTACGTCCATCTATAGAGCAGATCGTGCGAGAACTTGAAACAAGCCTTGAATATCAAGTAAGTTGACTTTTCTGTTTCATTTAATTATATTTGTTTTAGCAATCCTCTTATTTAGAAGGTGTTTGGATAAGAAAAAAGAGAATGTTTATAGCTTATTGTTAAATTTAAATGTTTGGATAGGAAACATTAAAAATCAGCTTATCGTGGAATAAACTAAATAAACTAATTTTAAAAAGCATCCACCATTGCTTATAGTTTATAGGTTATTTCTAATCCAAACATTTTTGCAAAAATTACTTCTTACACCGTTATAAACTAATAAGTTATAAGAAAACATACTTTTAAACACCATTTAGGTCTTTTGGTGAGACTTGAACCCATTACCTCTCATTTGAAAGAGTTACTCTTTACCGGCTACCGCTAGGCCAAAGGCCTTTTGGTGAAAAAGAGATTTATTATAAAACGAAGCTAATTAAGGTTCTTTTAATTTTTCTATTATGAAAATAAATAAAACATGCATTATATATAGTTACTCCATGTATTACCTTCATCCATTTTTTGTAACTATGTTTAGCAGTGAGTATTTGAGGAGTTAATTAAGCTTATATGGAATCTTATAAACTAATCATAGAGTTGCGAAAAATTAAAGTTACTGATATTAGTTTTTCTGTTAAATCATAACTAAACTGTTATTTAAAAGGAAAAAAGTCAACAATATATATCATTCTCGTTCATATCATATTTTGTAAACAAATTTAACAAATACTAAAAACAATTTATCAACTTATTATATTTGGTATAAGAAAACATACTTTTAAACGACGACTAATAATTTAATAAAATCAACTTAATTTACAAAAAATTAAGAACTTGTTTTAGATAAGGATTAAGGAATCGATCATTGTCGACCCAAAATGATAGTGGGGTAATAACCAAGGGAGCAACAAAGATGTGTACGAGTCATCCAAATAATTCTCTGTCTTATATGTTTTGAGACATTTCATGTAACAAGTAACATCATAACATTATACATTTTGTATCGGTTTGTGCGTTTTTATAAAAAGTTACTTTATTTTATTTATTTATTTATTTTCTTTGTATTTTAAGTATTTTCTTTATTTTTCAGATGCTAAAAAAATAATATTTTAAATATTAGAAAAACAAACAATAATGGCAACATCAATGGATAAAGACAATAGTGAAAACTTTTATAAGGGGCATCATATGTTGTCCTTATTGCCCTAAAATCTTGGAGGGAGAACCCGTAAAGATGTTGTAAACATTATCCTTTATGCTAAATAGAGCATTAATATTTCCCGACTAAAGAATACATCAATAACTTAAATGACTACGTCTCCAGTTATTATTGCGAGGAAATATTAATTAACTTCCTTTTCCAAATTGTAGTCGGTCGCAGACACAAATTCGTCCTTAGTGAAAGAGTTTGGACATCTCAGAATTGGACTTGATATCATAAAGCATGCCACAAACAACTTTGGTGATGACCACTTCATTGCTGAAGGTAGATCTGCAGGGAAGGTATACAGAGGAGAATTCAAACACTCTAAGGGACAAGTCATGTGTGCTGTAAAGCGCTTGGATTGTACCATGGCCGATACGGATCTTTTGTTTTGGAGAGAGATCATGTTGCTGACAAGTTATAAACATCAAAATATTGTCTCTCTTAGAGGATTTTGTGACGAGAGTAAGGAAAAGATCATTGTGTACGACTATGCAGTTCATCAGCGCCTTGATGTTCTTCTACTTGACCCCAAATTCACTTGGATTCAACGTCTCAAGGCGTGTCTTGGGGCTGCATGTGGGTTGGAGTACCTTCATGATCATAAGGGTACCCATCAAACTGTCCTGCATGGTCATATTAGAAGTGCCAACATCTTGTTGGACCGAAATTTGAATGCATATATTACAGATTTTGGCCTATCCAGATACGGGAAAGACAACGAAGATCACAGGCTCCTTTTCTTCGATGAGGAAGCCCCTCTTGGCTATTTTGATCCCATATATAAAGATACTGTCATATTGACAAAGGAAACGGATATCTACTCATTTGGTGTGGTACTATTCGAAGCATTGTGTTCAAGGGCTTGTGTTGATAATAGTTATAAGGATGAGCGTCGATCCCTACCTATATTAGTAAAGAAGAACTATCAAGAGCAGAAACTAGATAGTGTTGTGGATGATAATTTAAGGCAACAGATTGGCGAAAATTGTTTTGATACATTCGTAGAACTTGCATACCAATGTTTGGAAAGTAATAAGTCACGACGCCCCACAACAAATTTGGTCGTGAGCACGCTTAAAACTGCACTTGCATATCAAGTAAGTTGTTTTTTTTTTTTTTTTTTCCTTCTATTCAGTTATTTTTCTGTAATCATATTAACCTGTTTTTTACTATTATATTTTGAAGAAATAATTGGAACACAATTATAGATTGATATACCTACGTATATAAGATAAGAAATAGAAAAAATATATTGATAATCTCCTACCGTACACACTTGACTGGTTTATGGTAGAAAATTCTGAATTTAGAGTAAAATTTTAAATATGTCATTATGGTATTGTAAATATGAAAAAAATAAATAAATAAAATATTACACATAAAGTTTCTGATTGGAAAATTATGCATGGTTTTTGTACTACGAGCTCGATCCATACAAAATAACAATTCTTTGCTTCTGGAATAAATCCCAAAAATTAATCTTAAGTTTATTACAAAACATCGTCATCTTTTACCCACTTTTTGAGCAGGAGGTCTTTGAAGCAAAAGCAAATCGCCTATTGGATTTTGAAGAAATCTGTCCTCCCGGGGGAAGCCATTTGGTAATTTTGTACACAACAAGCGTCAAAGGCATCCGAAAGACGTCAAAAGATTGCTCCAGGGTTCACTCTTTACTCAAAAGTTTAAAGGTTTTATACCAAGAAAGGGATATAGCGATGTACTCGGATTTCAGAGATGAATTGCAGAAATTGGGAAAATTAACGGCACTACCTCGGCTGTTTATAAAGGGTAGGTACATCGGCGGAGCAGATGATATTTTTCTGTTGCATGAGCAAGGAAAATTCCAGCCACTCGTTCGTGATATACTAAACATATCGGAAGGGCCATGCAAAAGGTGTGCTGGAGTTCGGTCTGTGGTGTGCCGTAAGTGTAATGGTAGCAATATTCTGAAATCTGTTGAATGGGGCAGAACGAGGTGTACGGAATGTAACAAGAATGGTCTGATCAAATGCCCAATTTGCTTCTAAAAATATTTATTTTTAATTTGGTCCGTGCCATGTGTGTTGTTGCCACTTGCCAGTATCAGGTGATGATAAATCTGGTTTGAGTATTTATATGTGTACATGTTATTATCCCATATTATTGATGGATTACGGTCTCATCTTCCTCTATGCATTGAAGTAAAATCTCTCTTAAGCTCATACGGTGTGCCTTGTACCGCATACCGCGGTATAGTGCAGTATCCGATAAACACCGCACCGACCCCCAAATTAAAAGTGCGGTATGCATATCTTGTGGTACAACTTTACCGTGCGGGGAACAAAAACTCTCCTTTATATGTAGCATTTCATGCATAAAAATGTGTACTGTGGTAGGTGTGGTAATGTATGGTATGACACCTACTAGTTTTGTGGGATATGGTAAAAAATGACATGACACATAAAAAATATGGTGAATGTGGTATGACACCCACACCCTAAAACCACTTTTGGAGATAAAATCCAAGACTTCAC